GTACAAGTGATCTCAATTAGGGACCTCCATGAAGGCAGTAGGCGGCAGACAGTCAGGGCAATAAGAGCAGAGAGGAAATTGTCTTTATACCCCTCCTCCCTCCTCCCCCTCTCTCTCTACCCCTCTGCCACAAGCAGTGAGCAGCAGCCGCCGCCCCCTCCATGTCTCCATCTCTTTCCATGCTGCTCACTGCCCTTTGAAGAAAAGAGCAAAACATCAGAGAAACCCCCCGTTTTTTTTTTTTGTTTTTTTTTTTTTTGCATTTCTCTAGTTTGCAATTTAAATATGCTACACTTTAACAACCGCTTTGGGTTCCAGAGAGCAAGAAGTCTAATACAATTCTTGGACAAAACTTAGTGAGAATGGTTGCTCTGGGCCGACGCACACACCACAGAACGTGCCGTCCTCATCCTTAAAGTTCACAGTGATGTCACAGCTCGGTGACAAACAGTCATTAAGGGCTTAGCTCTGATCTGGGATCAGTGCATGAATGTGAGTCGGTGAGGTCGCGGTGATGAGGTCACGGGGAGTAAAATTTCTGCCTATCGTCATCCTCTGCCGGCTAGCTGCTTTGCTAATTGATACGCCCGTGTTGGTCAATGCACCAGCCGGAGTCTATAAGCGACTGACCCGCAGGCTAGATCTGTGGCTGCACATCTGCTCTCTCGGTATATTCTGTCGACTGGCTAGTAGACTGGAAGTTTGGCTTGTTGGCTGCCCGGCCCGGTGGGCTCGCTGATTGGTTAGCTGGCAAGCTGTTAGACTGGTAGCCTGCCAAACATGGAAACATCCCGTTAGAGCTGAAAAAGCCTGGGCCTCGTCACAGTCCTCCTTCTAGAAAGCTATAATTAAGTGTCTTGAAAAATGCACCGCTGTGAAATGGAGCCCTAATCCACTGTCTTAGGTGGCTGTACTTTTCCTCCTGAACGATGAGTGTGTACGTGAAAAAAATATGACCTTAAAGATATCAGTGTTGTTCATTTTGTAATTATTTACTTTTTCAGAATAAAGTGTTTAGTGCTTCTAGCTGCTTCAGTCCATACTTCTGGGTGTGCCCTGCTAAAACCCCAGCATCTTTTAAGCTGTCTTTGTAGTTAAAAGCATTAACTCTAAGCTCTGAGTCATGTCGTCTTTTCTTATGGGTGTTTTTAAAAGCAAAGATGAAGTAGCTTAACAGTGTTTGTGTGAGCTTATCAAAGCATAAATGAAATACAGAAAAGGATTCTGCACGCTTGGTTTGCTTACAGCATTACAGGCTACACAGACAGTGTTTTCGTGTACATATTAGCGGTTCACGGTCTTTGTCATTCCAAGTGGGACAGGGAACAGAAACTTTTATTGCACGCTTGATATCTCGATAGGAAAAGAAGTCGGATCGTCAGCAGAGTTTGATTTTTATTGAAACCAAATCATTGAATCGGAGGAGCAGAAATACAATACTACCATAAATCATAAAAACACACATCCTCGATATGGAATTCTGCGGTGCTTCGCTGCTAGTGATTTCTCCTACTGTGCAGTGACTCCGAGCCAGTGTAACACAGTAGATGAACAGTACCAGAGCTGAGAGAGACGACCCAGCTGTTCACCAGGCAAGCGGCAGCCGCACTGCACGAACAGCTTTACCCCGAGATTCATTACCACAGAATATTACGCCTGTTATTACTGAACAGAATTGGTTAAATGCCCTGGAACTCATGTTCAAAACAATGGATTTCACACTTAGCTGATCTGTGACTTGGATGCAACTCCCACAAAAAATAAATAAATGCAGGCACATTAACGGCATCTCTCAGGAAAATCAGTGGCAGATTATCCAGTCAGAGGTCGTGTCACACCTCTGGAGGACAGCCAGAGCCGGATCGAAGGCCTTGTTATATATATATATATATATGCGGACTGTATTATGGGGTTGAGATGGAAGGCAGATGCTGGGAGTACCACAGAGAGGCAAAGCAGAGTCAGATGAGACAAACACTCTTTGATGAGCCCGCCTTGTCAAAAGGTGGGGGTGTCATTTGTGTTGTGGCTTTGGGCCGGGAAAATGAAGAGGTCCTTCCTGCTGTTTGTGATCGGACTTAAAAGTGTAACCAAGGATGCGTCTTGTAGCCATAGAGCTATAGTTGTGATTATAAAAAGTATAAATTACTTGTGGAGAATTACTGAAATATAAATACAACTACTTGTGTAAAACAAGTTGAATTTGGAAAGTCACTAAATCTAAGACTGTATGAAATCGACTCAGTGCAAGTAATGGGTTCAACCTGAACATTTCCTAAATTAGATTTCACTACAATGTTAGGGATGTTTTCCACATTACTGCAAATGTATTCAGCACCGAAAAGAACCGATATTATCTGAGCTGAAATTTAACTCCGCTGGAATAACTGCCTTCACGGTTCCTGCAAGGCCATGTTTACCACTATTATAGATTTAATTACTACTATTCACATGTATTCATCCATGAGTTGTTAGTTGATCTTTGAGAATGTTGGACAATGTGAACCATATTTCTGGTGTTTGGGGCACATGGAGGGGAAGTGTAACTCAATCACTTTTTTCTTCCCCCTTGCCTCCCTCCCTGTCCACATGACGAGGTGCCAGATGCGTGTCAGTGCTTTCAGACTTTATATATATATATATATATACATATATATATGTAGATATATATATATGTACATATATATAAATATATATATATATATCCATCCCACATCCTCGCGCACACACGCACACATATGCTAACAGACATATATATGAATGTGCACACCCACGTACATGCATAATAATGAAACACAAGAAGTCGAATCATTCGGAGCGCTCCGGCTGGGCTGAATCTCTCGTTGTCTGCAAAGTAATCGTGTTTGGAAATGAATAAAGGGCCTTGTAACTGCAACTGGATGTAAACAAGCAGGCAGCCGTGGCTCCCAGTAGTCTCTTTATTTTTTGACACAGACACCAGTATCAAAAGCCTTTGTCTTAAAGTTTGCAATAAAAGTCTGTTTAGGAGAAATGGAAAAGGAACACAGAGCAGCAGTGCATGTGAGTCTGTGTGATGTGGCACTAAGAAGCACTCATCGGGAAACTGATGGATAATCAGGGTGGAGGGTGGGGTGGGGTGGCTGATGAGAGGGGCTGAGATACTGGAGTCTCGCAGAGAGAGCTCAAAAAGGGTAAATGATGCCCCCTACAGTAGACACTGGAGGGGGCACCTTTATAAGACAGCCTCCAGAGCAGCATCCACAATGGTAATAAGTGTTTTTAAAGGAATATAATATTTTTTTTTTTCATTAATTCAATTGGAACCTACATTCCAGGTTGAGGTTTGAATATATAGACTCTATTTTTTTTTTTTTTTTTTACCAAGTGTAATTATACTGTGTGGTTACATTTGGTTTTAACTCTTTTTGGAAAGTTTCTTCGACAAGAAAATTATACCAAGACATTTTCCATTATACGTATTGGTCTAAAAGTTAAAATATGCAGGTTGTAAATAACCTCTATGAGTAGCTATTTGTGTGCATGTATTATTAGTTTAATAAGGACAAGGTCGTATTTTGTTGCTGTGGTCGCTGGTGACAGAGCTAGTTTATAGGTGCAGTCAGATTGAGTAACATCTCGTGTGGTATGGTTAAATATTTTTCACCTCAGCCACCAGGACTGATGGAGAAATGATGGTAACCTACAGTTATCACTGAAATATGACGCGTATTCCATTTATCTACTGAGGATTCGTTGGAAAACACAGTTATTAGAATATAAGGGAATTTTCTTATATTCTATTAGGAGCTGCATGTGTATAAAACCATCTTTTCTTACATTCAGAAGTGTGTACAAATATAAAAACTATTACTTATTTAATAATAGTTTACATTTGTTAATGCTTTCAATTTATTTTCAATTATAAAGTCTGGTTAAAATAACAATAATTCCCCATATATTCCACTGTGGAGCTGTAAACAATTCTAAATGCACAAAATAAATCATTGTATTATATATAATATTAAACATTTCTAAATGTGTTTCATTTAAAATGATGTATTGAATTATTTTTAAATAATGTTGTGGAGGACATTAGGAGTACTGGAGATCTTTGCCTGACCTCCAAGAGGTTTTGATGGCAAAAACAAAAAAACAAAAAACAAAGCGCTGTTTTATTGAGATAACGTTTTGAAATAAATAGTTTTTATTCACCACTGGGCTTTAACTAATTTCAGGGAGCATGCACTTAGCAGGAAACTGTCATATGGGCGCGCGGCCGTGAATGCAAGCCGGTGTAAAGAAGAATACCTGTACACCTGCACAACAGCTCTCCCTTCTGACCGGCTGAAACTCAACTCCCCCCTCTCTCTCTCTCTCCCTCTCTCTCCGTCTCCCTGCTCCTCTGACTCACTCCTACCTTATGGAGTGTGACACTTCCCCTCAGCCGGGCTCGGCTCTCTGGACACTCTTGCTCACTGCGCGTGTTATCGGGATACGGTGGTAACACAACACAGACTGCTGGAGTGATGCGTGTGCGCTGACGGGAAATGAGCAGCTGTAGAGTCAGGAGAGTGTCCGGGAGAGCGGTAACATGTCGGTATGTACCGGGCATTGTGTGCGTGATGACAGACAATTAAAAAAAAAGAGAGAGAGAGAGAGGCAGAGAGAGAGGGAAGGGGTTGAACTCTGTTCCTCCATGTGCGTTCCATGAAGGTGTAGACTTGACGCGCAGACCGCTCCAATCGTCTATATAGGCGTGATAGATTATGGCGCAGGGATCAGATCAGACTCCAGACACCACGTGTTGGAGTCGCATCAGTTCAGTAATTGCTGCGCCGCTGCAGCTATATAAACCACAAAAAGCCTGAGCACGGGAAACCCCGGCCTCCAAACACTAACCACATTTACGGCTACATAAACTGGATCCGTTTTTCCGCCTCCTTCATCTCAACGGCGATTATTTTTTCACCTCCGATTCGTCAACTTTTTTTTTTTAACCCTATAAACCACAAAAAAAAAAAAAAAACTACGGCTACGCGCAAAGACGTTGCGGGGGAAATAAGTCCAGTGTTTCAGGCGTCGCTGGGTTAAAAATAGCTGTTAAGTATATTGTCAAAGCTGATCCCGTTTTGTGTGTGTGTACATTGCCTGCGGGTTTTCGGGGAGACTTTCAGTTTGGCACAAAGACGCACCTGGAGCAGCGCTGCGACTTTTCACTCAAGGAAGGCGGACAAAAAAAACTTCTTCAGCATCTGGGTCGGCTGCTCGTTTTTAAAGCTGACTTTTTTTCTTTCTTTTTTTTTGAAACTCTATAGGCTGTTACGCGCTTGGACATTTATTTGATGTTATTTATATCAACATATGAGCAGTTTCGCTGGCGTTATGGCACATGGAAGCTTCCTCCGAGAAGTTTGAAAAAACACAGCTTGTCATTTATACATCATCAAGTTTTCAATGGTTGTTTTCCTAGCCGGAGAAGTATATTATACGTCTCCACTACAGCTTTTAGTGGAGGGTTTTGAAACGCGCTGATCGCTCACCAAGTCCCATTTTTCCACTGGCAGACGCGCTGAGGTTCATTTCAGCTGCGGTGCGCAACTCTTCCAACTTCCTTGAGCGTGTGAGACAGAGACAGAGACTGAGACAGGCAGCAGGAGAGGAACAGGGAAGACTTCGGTGCCTTTTCTGATAACCCTCGCTGTTGTGATGCGAATTCCCGTAGATCCCAGCGCCAGCCGGAGGTTCAGTCCGCCGTCCAATAGCCTCCAGCCGGTCCCAGGAAAGATGAATGATGTGAGCTCTCCAAACGGGCAGCCGGACGCAGCGGCGGCGGTGCCAAGACTGCGCCCCCACGAAAACCGCAGTATGGCGGAGATCATCGCCGACCACCCGGCCGAGCTGGTGCGCACTGACAGCCCCAACTTTCTCTGTTCGGTCCTGCCTTCACACTGGCGCTGCAACAAGACGCTGCCCGTCGCCTTTAAGGTGAGTCCATACGGGGTTATGTGGGCAAGAAATGGGGAAGAAATGTTGAGATAACCTGGTGTGTGGTTCGCATTCATTGAAACCACACCATTTTAAAACAAAATAATTTGATTTTTATCAGCAACCACAGCTATGATTTGTTTAACCAAACTTATATACAACTTGCATTAATTACACAATTATCAAAATGCTGGTATTTAGATTACATTTGTATTTCTTATATATTTTTAAATTGCAATCAACACATTGTAAATACTATGTATTTCTACAAGCTTTAAATGGCATCTCATTATAAAGAAATGAATGTGAAATTTAATAGGCAATACGAACTTGCTGTAATGTAATATAATGATTTAAAAAACACACTGGAAATATTAGAATAGTTGCTTAAATATATTTATTATCTAAATATAAAATAAATAAATGTCATTTTTTTCCTTATTTTAAAATGTGGACTAAAATTCTGACATCAAAGAATACATTAATACATCTCTTTCTAATTAAAATAAAATGTAATGCATCATAATTTTTAAAATAAAATATTTAATCTTTTTTCTACAACAATTTATATGCACAATATTTCTATGATTTAAAAAAAAACATTATAAATATAAATATACATCACATGTGTAGAGTTTTATTAAGCAACAAAAACCAAAGGCTATAAAAGGTTTATTTCCAGCTCAGACTAAGTGGAATTATTTTGAGGCCTGTGTAGACTGCAGTGACACTAACAGGCCCTATTAATTATTTGACTCATTTTATTTAAAGATCCAGCTTCAGTGGAAATTCGCATCTGTAATCCTGGCGTCAAATCAGATGTGACACTTCTAAAAATATATGTGCTATTTAGCCATTCTCATCACAGACTGTCTGTAATTACTGCCGTTGGGGCCTGCTCCTGCTCTTTTATCTGCATCCAGGCATTCAGATAATAACAAGAGGCCTCGCTGCTTTTGTTTTCTGGGCCTAGAATTTGAAGAGTGACTCACATTCCGTAACTGCTGAGTCAAAATTAAAATGAAATCAATTTTTAATTTATTTAATTAGTCATAGAATGTAGAGCCAATCAGTCACATAAACGAGATGAAACTGAGAATAAGGCCAAAGTTTGGTTTCACTCAGCTTCAGGCTTTAAAGTGACAGACCTGTGTTATTTACACTTCCTCCGTCTCTTTTATTCTTTACTCACCATAAACACACGTGGGGATGATGATTGTTAAATAATATAAGAATATTGATCAAACCGCTTTCCACATTTCTGCTTTTGGGTCTTTCTCTCACGGGTAGGTGGTTGCTCTGGGTGACATCCCCGACGGGACTGTGGTCACAGTGATGGCAGGGAACGATGAGAATTATTCTGCTGAGCTGAGGAACGCTTCAGGTGTGATGAAGAACCAGGTAGCACGTTTCAACGACCTCCGCTTCGTGGGCCGCAGTGGCAGAGGTGAGGCCTGAAACACTGTACCCTGCTGTCTACTATTTATCAGTAGGAGCTATTAGATGCTGCGGTGTGGATTAGCTCACATTCCCTACATGGCAACCGCATAATGATCTCTCTAAGTGCACGCTCAAATCCAACACCCTAAGTCTGAGCGGTGAATCATGTTGCTGTCACTCGTCTTATTTTAAATGTAGATCCAATTTATTTGGTGTCTATTTTCTGGTATAAAAACATTGAAACTTTTATGAGATATAATCTCTCTCTATCAGTTTAAGAAGAAAATGTAGGACAAAATTTGCCATGAGTCATGTGTCGCTGATGAAAGAGCCCTTTATTCACTCTTGTCATAAAATGCTCACCTGAAATGACCCAGGTCAGGCGTATAAACACGTTGGGTGGTGCAGCAGCCCTGCAGCTGATCACACTCTGCACATATCCTCAGGCTTCTCAGCAAAGCACAGGCACACTTCAGCTGGGTATAATGGCATTCCCTGAATGTTTGGCATGGGTAAAGCAGCTCGTTGAATTGTTCACCATCTTGTCACAGAATCATCTTTTTATGATTTATAATTAGGACACACAGGGTGCATTTTCGCCTTGTTTTCACCTGATCCAAATGTTCTGACATTTCTATTTACTGCGTGAATAATAGATCCCTTTTATAAGCTTGCGGTGATGCCAGCTGTCACCAGCTCCACTTGTGACCTTTGTTCTTAGATTCCTTCACTGCTGTAGCTGTCACCGACGCTGGCAGATAGGCAGGATGTTGGCAGCTTTGGGAAAAGAGAGTAGCTGTGGTGGCTGGACGGGTTGCCACGGCGACCTTGCGTGTGTCCCTTTTACCGTGACACAGAATCTGGTCACAGGAAGTGACAAAGGAGCCGAGGCAGATCGGACTACAAGGTGTCTGAAATGAATACCTGGCAATGGCTGCGATGAGAACCAGCGGAGTGAACTGAGAGAATGTTATAGAAGTCGGGCATGAAGAGGTGGAGAGAGCAAACACCGGTGAACAGGGATTTACACCTGAAATATGAAGTCATCACTAGGGGTGTGTGTTGGCAAGAATCTGCCGATACGGTTCTTGTCACGATACAGGGGGCAACGTTGCAATATATTGCGATGTACTGCAATACTATAGGCACAATGATATACTGAGTTTTTTAATGGATTTTAATTGTAGGAAACCTGTCAGCGCAGTAAACACAGATGCTTGACATCAGGTTACTAAAGAAGAGAAGAAATAAATCATCGGATTTGGTTAATACTTTTATTAAGATAGATATTTAACAACGATGCAGGTCGCAGGCTACAGCAGCCATGATGTGACATGTAGGGTGTCCTGTTTTTATCGCAGATCACTAGTTCTGCTTCACCCACATTTCCCACAATGCAGGTATGTGGGACACCTGTTCTGTCTGTGATCTGCTATCTCCCGGAGCCGCCTTATCACCGCTCTGCAAGGCATGTTTATAATGAGCTACAGTGTGGTACGGAAGAGGGCAGGACACACGGGTAGATGGCAGCACTGAATGGACAGCTGTTCCCCGAAGTCTCCGCAGCTACCTGCCCCCCACTTCCTGTTTGCTTTATGCAGCCATAGATACTTGACGCGTTTGCTCAAACCTTAGAGCGCTGATTCATAGCATTCCTCCTGCATGCTCATAGGAGCGTACACACTTGCACAGACACACACTCGACCCCAGGGCAGCAACTGCTGAGGATTATCAAGAAAGGAAGTGACTATTAAAAAAGGCCTCTCACCCACTAACACTGCATTACACCAGGGGAGAGTCTGAATAACGATATGACGAGTCCTCCGCTCTATATCCCATGTCGGCTCCTGCACATTAATAAAACAGAGCCTCTGAGAAACGTCAGAATTGTCCGTCATTAATCCTCCGTGTCTTTCTGTTTCCAGTTTTCATTGGGCCTTTATGTGATCACAACCACACTTGTGACTTAGGGATGGTGTAGTGATGAATGCAGATCATTGTCTCTGGAAATGGTACGCCATTTGATGTTGTTTGATGTCACCACAGGCAAGAGCTTCACGCTGACAATCACAGTATTCACCAACCCTCCACAAGTGGCTACTTACCACCGAGCCATTAAGGTCACCGTAGACGGACCACGTGAGCCCAGGAGTAAGTACAAACGCACTCAGAACTCCACCAGCATGCACATTTTTGTTACAAATGAAAGTATGCAACAGTGCACTTTTAATGTTTTACTTTTTAATTTTATATACATATAAAATGGTGACCCACGTTTTCAACATTTGTTTTTCACTCACATCTTTATGGAAGTCTTATCCAGTTGCAAAGACACCCATTAGGTGGCAGTAGTGCACCCCAAAGGTTTTACCACCACAGTGTAATCCAAATGAGAAGAAGAAGCAAAAAAGAGAGTTGTTTTTCTGTGTTTGGTAAAGGGCTATTTTGATACTGTATGATGCTGGAATCTAAAAGTATATTTCCCATGATGCGCAGCTCTATCAAAATGTTGCCTTCTTTATTCTGCACTCTAATGAAGCTGGAGATAGAGATGGTCTCCAGATGAAGCTTTCTCAGACTCTTTTTTTATTATTATTAAACCTCCTATTTTCTTTAGATGAGCCTCATATCCTGAGATTTAAACTCAGGTCCGGTCCCAGACATCCCTGATGACATCATCACAGTTATTCTTTTCCCATTTTGAAAAAGTCCCTTCTTAGCTTTGCAAGACACTGAGCAGACACCGTGATTCTAAACTTGTCCCTAAAACTAAGCCATGGGTGTGGCTGCCTGTGCAGTCACCCATGCAGTGTCAGCCAATGACGGCATAATAAAAGTAATTTAATGCAGGAAAATGTGAAAAATGCGATTGTTAATCAGTAATCAGCTCAATTTATTTAAGGTCGAGCAGAGAGAAAAAAAATAAATGTAGCCCTACATGGCACAGTTTGAGAGAAAGAAGAGAAGTAAGGCAGATTATTCCTCCGAGGGTACACTGGGTAGCAGAGTGCTAGCATCAGCTCGTTTTAATGGCCCATATAAAAACAACCGAGGAAGAAAAAAACTTTACTATAGCCGTCAGTGCCAACTGGTCTGGCACGCAGCTGTTTCCCCAACCCTTCTCCCTATTCATAAAAAAAAGAAAAAAAAAAAAACATTCATCATACCCGCCCTTGGCCTCATCACATGTGGCACCAGGACGCACAGAGACAGAGAGGAGCCAGAAGACAGTAGGATTAGTACCACCATCAGTCTGTTGTAGGAAATCTACCCACCGAGCCAAAATATGCCTCGCATAACCCACATTCAGTGCTCATCAACACGCGCCTTGAAACAAAGACATGTGCTTGTCCTCAAACGCACATGAACTCACAGTCACACCCACCACTCTGCCTGTGTCGCTCTCCAGCCATCTTGTTTGATCAAAAAGCATTTCCTGTGCATCTGCCGCCCCCCCGCCCCCATCAAACTACTTTCAAACAAGCTCTGCTGTTTGGTGGCGAGCAGACGAAGTTCAGTCTCAGCAGTGCTATACTCCCAAACAAACTGTTATTTAGAAGTGGACAGATAGAAGACAAGCAGAGTTCAGACGATGTCAGGTGAAAAGAAGAGATATTTTTCCATTTTATTTTCTCCTTATTTGTGGTCTGAGAGAAACGTTCTGATGTGAAGTTTGCGTGTTTTCCCTTAATTCTCAAGACAGCAATTCAAGCAATAAAGTCTAAGTCATCATACGTAACCTCTGAACTTCTTTACTTTGCTGTTAAGTGGTCAGAATTGCAGCGCCGGTGTAATTTACCTAGAAACTACAGCCAGAACACGTTTCACAATCAGGGGTCATTAAGCTGAGTTCAGAGGGTGGCAAAACACACATGTGGCCTTTCAAGCCCTCCTCAGGGTTTTCAAAAAGGAGAGACTCAGAGCTGAGAGCTGTGCAGGTCTCCAAAGCTGTGATTCAATCTGTGAACGCTTCATTGACACATGGGGGAGGGGGGGGGGGGGTTTGTCAGACATTACAGCTCTATTCTGTGTTAAATGAGTGGGTAATTAGGAGGCCTGTGGTACACTGGGCCTCTTAGGAAGTGGTCTACACAGAGAGAGAACAGTAGGCTGTCTTAACCTTGACATACGCTGGCAATCTGTGGCCCAGTGCTGCAAGAAGCTTCTCCTTGTTTTCTAAAAATAAAAAAAAACAAAATAAAAAAGCCGCCGAAAACATTACGTTTTTAAAAATAGCTGCTGAACAACTGGTCTGTTGCTGTCATCGGTGTTCCCCTTGCCTTTTTTTGACAGTTTTTGCTCCTTGTTAATGGTTTTGTTTGGTTGTGGCTGACTCAAAGGACATCTGTGTCAATCTGTTTGATAAGCCTTATGGTAGCCATATGAGTTTTCACGAAGGATGTCATTTCCTCAGGGGCTTCTTATGTAATATACTGGGGGGGAAGGAGGGGGGGGGGTAGTTGGACCACACATGTGGGAAGGAGCCCCATATCTCCAAAACTGTGGCATTGAGCTTGGACTAATTAATTGAGTGGTTAGGGTGACGAATATCAGTGAGGCCTACTTTAAAGATTTGTGGTATCGAGGTTTACGGTCGTGTGCGCGTGTGCTCTGGTATGTGTAGGAGAGAGTGAGCGCTTGTGCCTGTCCCTCCGGCCGCTGCGTTATTAGCAGGAGGCTAACTCTGGTTTCTGCGGCTCACATTGTGCTTAATCGCTCGACATCTTTTGGTTTCTCTGTGGTTTGCCACTGTGCTAACAGGAATCACCCGTGTACATGCATGTTTGAGACGTCATTGTTAGCGTGTGCGTATCACTTGCGAGACGCCCCCGTCCACGCCTGTGTCATACTGGGCTGTGTTTTAGAGAGAAAGTGTTATTGGTGTCATTAGTCTAGTGTGGAGAGCAGCCCTGGTCCTGATTTGGAGCAGAGCTAATAGGCCTCATTAAATGTCATTTTCATCTAATAGACAGGGAGTGGTTGCCTTAAACCAATATGCTTTTATAGGTGGTTCTGTCTCTTTTCAGCTGCTTCTGACGGTGGCCTCAGCCAGCTGAGACAAACTTCCTGAGTGATAATGGCTACGCAGTAATAACACAATATACAAGGCTTCTGTCCAAACCCACTGTTCTCATTAGAGTTAATTGCTGTCAGACAAACTTTGGAGGTGACACAAACCATTATGGCGTCACACGTACTGGGTTTTACTTCAGCATATTGCAGTGGTTATTGAGCATAAATCTGTGTGTGTCAGTGGTCGAGGTTAGTGGTCAGGCATGTTTCTGCTCTTGCAGCTGATGGGTCTGGGGGAGTCTGGATTGGGAACAGGGTCGTGTTTTGGTTTGGTTTGGTTTTGGTCAGGGTGTTAACAAGTTTGGTGGCGCGGCGCTGGTAACTTGGGTCTGCAGACAATATTAGTGGTTGAGGAGTCTTGTCTGCCAAGCCGAATTCTTCCTGTGACACCCATACTTACACACACACACACACATATATTCTGTATATTCTCTGTATAAGAGCTGGACGACAGTTGTAGCCGCAACGAGCGGCATGCTCATAAGTTTAAAGGTAAAATCACTGGAAAAGAAAGGAGAAAAAAACAAAAAAAAAATCAGAGCCTCCAGAAAATGAATTTTAATTGCAGTGTAAAAACATTATATTGCATGCAAAGATAATTCACGCAGACATAAAGTCACCCACAGCTGCAAAAAAGGTTTTAAAGCTGTGGAGGCCACACAGCGATAGCTCCAGTGTATGAACTCCCGTTACAAATCTGGACGTGTACTGTGGACCATTACAGGCCTGTGGCCCAGTTCACACAAATCCATGATTTGTGTGAACTGGTGAGATTTGTGGCTCTCTCTTGTTTAACCTCAAAACCTCAACATTATACATATTTATTTATTTAAATAATACACCTTACAGTTATGTATTTGCCTTAACTTTACAAAGAGTCAAGCCTGTTGTGGATTAGATGAGTCGACAGACACAATGGTCCCTGGTTTTAGCTAAAAGTAATTATAATTACTTTTACAATATAATTCTATAATAATAATATTATAGATTATTATATTATAAATAGCCATTACATTTCATTATTTTTCACCCAATCAACACGGAGTATTATGATAAAAAAAAACTCGAATAATGTTGTTATGAATAAATGTTTACCATCAGTCAAACTAATATCAATTATTTAAATATATATATATATATATATATATACACAGACAAAAAAAATTTAAAAAAATCCAGCATTAAGACTAAATTTAATCAGATTAAAAAATCTAAAATTTTAAAGAGGCCAAAAAAAGACAGCAAAGTAAAAACAAGTACCTGAGTGCCAACAAAAATACAAAGGTTAGAAACTGCTGCTTAATGTCCACGACCTGGATGATCCTTTCAGTCCTTTGTTTTGTTTTTGTTTTTTCTCTAGTAACCACCATGACAAAACTAACTTTCATACTCTGTAGTATTCCAGATCCAGTGTTTTAGATAGGCGGGAAGTCACATGACTGTCACATATGTAAACACACATACATACCTGCACGTACGTACCAACACTTGGCTGCAGTAATAAGAGCAGCAACAGGGGGAGGCAGTTGGAAAAGTAGGGAAAAAAAAAAAAAGCTTTGAGCCTTTTTTTTTTTTTTTCAGAGTCAGTCAGTTGAGCGTCTCATGAAGTTACTTGAAGAGGTGCCAGGGTTTCTACAACACAAAACACAACATCACTCAGGGAGCACAGAGACAGAGAGACTGACAGATCTGAAGGGAAAAAAAGAAAGATAAATTAGGTAGATATAAAATATATGTATATTAGGAAAGAAGGGATTTGTTTAGAATGAAGGGAGAAATTAATGCAAGGAAGTTAGTGTGTGTGTGTGTGTGTGTTAATGCTCTTTATATAAGTGTATTTTTTTTATTAGAAGTGGGTTTTTTTTCTCTTTTAAATGTATCACCTTTGGGCATTATGGCGTATTTTCTCTCACTCTCACTGTGTGTGTGTGTGTGTGTGGGTGGGTGGGTGTGTGTTCGCCCCCTTCTCTTGCCTGGCTTGCTTCCTCTAGGCTGGAACGCATGGACCACACAGACGGCTGGCAGGGCTCCACGACTGCCTGGCTCCCCGTTTCTCCTTCTCTCCTTCGCTTGCAGCCTCATCTCCAAACCCTCCTCTCTCACCTCTTCAGTTCTTTTTTTATTTCACTTTTTTTCTTGTTTTTTTTTCTGTTATCCCAACTTTTCTTTTTCCCTTTTTGCTCTTAGTCTTTCTCCTCCCTCCAAACCAGACCCCCAGGGTAGACTGGCGTCTGGCTCTCACCCACTCAGACCTTTTTCCCTTCTGAGCCATGCTCTGCTAGATTTCAGATTGCCACCTGAAATAATTCATTGTTTCTGACCATTCACAAAAACAACATGGCCAGTGTGAGGGCTGCCAAATAAAAAAGTAAAATATGCACCGAGCGCATAAAGTCATTGGCCTCGCTGGTCGTCAGATGACTGATATTTATGCAAATGCAAACAGAAACTGACAGAAGTCAATTCAGGCTCCCAGAGCACAGTTTTGACTCATAAAGTATCTGAATTGCAACTGTATGAGGAGAATAAAATCCATGAAGTGACACAAAATTCCAAATTATCCAATTTGTAGGGATTTTTTTCCTTTGGCTGACTTATTTTCTCTCGTATATAGTTGTGAGAAAACACAAATCTGTTGTCTGCAACAACAGTTCAAATTTGATCTGCTTATGTTTAGTCAGGGGTGTCATTGTACATCAAAGCTGTAAGTGGCTTGTATATATTTTGGGCATGTCTTTTTAGTTCATGAAATATTTTTGTTGAGTAAATATGAAGGTGTAGCTATTGGAAGGCGATTAAAAGACAGGAAACAGAAGAATAACTTGGCTGGATTTGTCCAAAATAAGAAAACTGACTACGAAAGCTCTCTAATCAGCACATTGTGTATGTTTGTTTAATCCCTAGAAAAAAAAATGAATTTCATTAAGTTTGATCAAAACCAGACTGCCTGTTTCTGTGTTTCTCTTTGTAGCTTCATGTTTTTCTAATCTTTCCATCTAACACTTGGCAAGAGAGTCATTTGCATATTTCACACTATGTCAAACAAGTCTTTTAAACATTTTAACCCTCTGAACCAGTTCAACAGTTGTCATGTAAATCCTAACATGTACCGTTCCATAGCTCGGTCATTTGACTCGGCAATGGGAACCGCTAAGCATCCGTCGAGGACGTCTGAGCTCCGGCTCAGATCCAGTCTGATGCTGCCGTTAATTACAGGGTCCTTCTACTGTGTTATCAGATCAGCAGGGGCAAGATGAATTCAGGCTTATATGTCTTTGTCATTGAGGGGAAAAACAACACTGTTCATGCTTTAGTGTGATTAACATTGTTATCCATAGAGGTGTGAGTTAATAAGTCTGTGCAAGAGCAGGAGACGCAGAGAGAGAAAGAGAGAGAGAGCGAGAGGGTTGCTCACATCTGTTCTGAATCTGTCCGTGTTTCCGGCCGCTGGCTGGGCAGGGAAGTGGCAGGCGCTATCAAAAATCTCCGCTGTTTTCAGAGGATGATGGGAATCTCAGGGACTTTCCCTAAGGCAGTGAAATCATCCGCCTTTCCCGCTCCTTTAAATACCCCCAGCTCACTTCTCCACCCTGCACGGGTTCCGATAAAACAGCTGAGACGTCTCGTGTTTGGCAATAGTTGTCATTTAAAAGGTGTAATTAAGTCATGAAAAAAAAACAGCATTTACTGTCAGAGCCTGCTAACCCAGTGGACTGGAGGTCCAGCTGTAGGGAGTGTTAAGTGGACCTTAATGTGGTGCTTGATGTGTTGCAACCCTATAAAACTAAAATACATGTGATTCAATATGGACTCCAACCGTAGGTGTTTCCAGGGAGTGATCAGCGAGGACGCAAGCTAAGATTTCGCAGCATGAAGAACCCAACTGTCCTTATTGCCTTTCTACGTACGCGCTCGTAAATATGTTTCTCGACGCCGTCAAAATCCCAAACAGTCCCACCATTCAATTTTCCTGACCCATCAAAAGCTTTTAATTTACTGGTCATCAGGGTGTCTCCCTTTCCATGTGCCCTCCCCCCCACTCATGTCTGTCTCCAGTCGTCTCCCTTGGTCTCAGTTTGCTATTTATTCCCATTACTAGGAGACAGGCTGTGCACAAAGCCAGCACTGTGTTCTGGGGTGTTATAAGAATAGAAATTTTTGTGTGTCGAAAACTGGAAATGCTATGATTGCCT